CTCAGTGGTTTGAGCATTGGCCTGCTAAACCCAGGGTTGTGAGTTCAATCCTTGAGGGGGCCATTTAGGGATCTGGGGCAAAAATTGAGGATTGGTCCTGCTTTGAGCAGGGGGTTGGACAAGATGATCTCCTGAGGTCCCTTCCAACTCTGATATTCTATGATTCTATGATTCTAAATCCAATTTCCCCATAAGAATTAATGTAAATGGGGGGAGAGGTTAGGTTCCAGGGAAATTTTTTTTGCTAGACAAAAGGCATTATATACATTTTAAACTATTTTAAACAATCAATTTAATACATGTATTAAACAGGCTGGCAGCCCACCCATCAGCTCCCCTACTTGCCCCGCCCCCCAGCACCTTCCACCCGCTGGCAGACCTCGCGGATCAGTGCCTTCCCCCTGCTCTCCCCGCCTCCTGCCCAAGGCAATCAGCTGATTGGGGCATTCAGGAAGCTGAGGGGAGGAGCAAGGGCACAGCGCGCAGCCTCCCTCTTTCCCTCCCCTGCCTCCTGCCTGCAGCAATCAGCTGAATTGCGGCGTTCAAGAGGCAGGAGAGGGATCTGCGGAGTCTGCCGGCAGGCGGGAGACACTGGGGGGGGCACGTAGGGGGGCTGCCAGCCGTGGACAAAGCAGGCGGCCAACAACATTATAGGGGAGCATTGCACAACTTTAAAAAGGCATGTTCTGTAATGGACAGGGACGAAAGATCAAAAAAACGTTAAGCAAGAGGACGTTAAGTGGGGAATTACTGTACTTGGATGCTGCATTCAAACTATGCAAGGGTCAAGAGAATAGCCAGGAGGATTGGCACATAGCACAAAACACGATCTTCTGGGATCATTCATTCCTGTTCTACTGACACAAGAGTAATTTAAAGTTTCTGCAGAAAGTGTAACCTACAAGTGATCCTTACATCAGCTAATCCATTTACAAGAGACCACAGAGCATTTTAATTCCTCTATAGCAGATATACCATATCAGATATTTCATCCAGAAGAAGCAACTGACTCCCACCAAATAAAGGGTAAAACATCCCCATCCACTTAGAAATAATTGTGGCTTATCTTTGTGTTTGTATATTCTGTAAGCACCTTTGGTAGCCTTACAAATTAGAATATAAAAATCATACTAAATAATCCATCATGGGAGAAGGATCTTTCCCTAAATTGCCAGGATCTTCTAGCTACACATTATTCCTGCAGTCAAATCCTAGCCAATACAGCAGGAGTGGCTGCAGTTATTAAGTGAGGTAGATGAAATTGTAACAAGACATTATTTTGAAAGGATGGAATCTGTATCATCTGTTCTGCCAAAAGAAATCTGATGAGATTCAACAAGGACAAGTGCAGAGTCCTGCACTTAGGACGGAAGAATCCCATGCATCGCTACAGACTAGGGACTGAATGGCTAGACAGCAGTTCTGCAGAAAAGGACCTGGGGTTACAGTGGACGAAAAGCTGGATATGAGTCAGTGTGCCCTTGTTGCCAAGAAGGATAACAGCATTTTGGGCTGTATAAGTAGGGGCATTGCCAGTAGTTTGAGGAACGTGATCATTCATCTCTATTTGACATTGGTGAGGCCTCATCTGGAGTACTGTGTCCAGTTTTGGGCCCCACACTACAAGAAAGATGTGGAAAAATTGGAAAGAGTCCAGCAGAGGGCAACAAACATGATTATGGGACTGGAACACATGACTTATGAAGAGAGATTGAGGGAACTGGGATTGTTTAGTCTGCGGAAGAGAAGAATGAGGGGGGAGGGGATCTGATAGCTGCTTTCAACTACCTGAAAGGGGGTTCCAAAGAGGATGGATCTAGACTGTTCTCAGTGGTAGCAGATAACAGAACAAGGAGTAATGGTCTCAAGTTGCAGTGAGGGCGGTTTAGGTTGGATATTAGGAAAAACTTTTTCACTAGGAGGGTGGTGAAGAACTGGAATGCGTTACCTAGGGAGGTGGTGGAATCTCCTTCATTGGAGGTTTTTAAGATCAGGCTGGACAAAGCCCTGGCTGGGATGATTTAGTTGGGGATTGGTCCTGCTTTGAGCAGGGGGTTGGACTAGATGACCTCCTGAGGTCCCTTCCAACCCAGATACTCTATGATTCTGCCTCAAGCTAGAGTGGGAAACTGGCACTAATTGTTGTTTCAAATATAAATGTTTCATACTGGAAGCTCATACCCATGGAAGACTAAAATAAGTTCGAAAGATCAATTGTATAGACCTTGAATCCTTGGGATTTCAGTACAAAACCCAAGAGAGGAACTGGTTCAGAAACCACTCAGCCTAAATTCCCTAACATCTGGAAGAGATGAGTCAGAAATGCATGGCAAAGCTGAGAGAGGCTGTGGGAGAAACCATGTGGGATGCTGTAGGAGTCAGCCTGCCTCAAGCACTGAAAGCCTGAAGGAGAGGGGAAAACTCTAACGCTGATCTCTTTGCCCCTTCCATGTAGTTAAACCCTCTGGACTATGAAAATTCATTTAGGCTGAGCTGCCCTTCGTAGGGCCTAAATAAGATGAAAGGTTGCAGTCATGACACACCTCAGACCATGTTGCATCACAGTTGCACATAACTCCACCAGCTCCAAATCCAGGAAATATAAATAGCAGAATGATATAAGTGCATGTCAGCATGGATATTCTCCTTCCTGTAGCACATTTCACCTCTTTCAGGCAGGAGGGAAATTACAGTAGGATTGAAAAGGCTTTGTCCAGCCCCAGAACAGTTCAAGTAATTCTTTTCTTGTTATTAAGTGAGTCCTTTTCTTTCAGCATCCTCACTTCCTTCCTGCATTGGGGTTGTGCTGTATATTATGTGCACTGTAATGGTGCTGTACTACCAATTGCATTTGCTACAATAAATCCACGTTAACAGTACATATCCAATCCCAGCATGCACTGTCATGCCCTCAGTGTAGAACTGGGAGCTGGTGCTAGGTGCCACACAGCGCATTCCTTCACAGCCTTGGAACGTTTCTTGCCTTCCGCTTGTGCCATGCAGTTTTGGCAGAAAACAAATTGTTAGATAGAAAAGGAATGCCAAAGCTGCAGGAGAGCTGGCAAGAATCCTGGCATATTTACAGAAGATCCTGACGACAGATGCCCGACAGCTGCTCTCCACACCATGCCTCCTTCACAGGGTCTCTCATTCTCATTTACAATGTGGAGTTGACACCTAGGCTGTACTCAGACTGCCAGTTTTAAATTAGTTCGAAGTCCAGTAAAGGAAACCATAACAGACACAGGGTGTTTAAATCCCTTATGCCAGGAGCTGGGATTTTTCTCCCACTTAGCACAATGCACTACAATCTACATCAGGCATTTCTAGCCAACTAGCACTCTGGCATCAATGGGTATATCTACACAGCCCACAGCAGCAAGCTTCCAAGCCCAGGTCAATGTACTTGCACTACTGTGCTAAAAACAGCCTCGTAGACATTGTGGCTCAAGCTGGAGCTCGGGCTCTGAAGCCTAGGACAGGAGTGGACTTCGGAGCCTGATCTGCAAAGTCTATACAGCTATTTTTAGTGCGTTAGCGTGAGCATAAGTCTGTCGACCCAGCGTTGGAGACTTGCTGCCACTTGCTGTGCCCGTACATCAGTTTACAAGGCTCTAAAATATCCAAAAGGGAACCCATCCATAATTCCAGAATATTTTCCCTCTGTCTCATTTACCGCTTTGTTCTCCTCGTCCTTCATCATTCCTATCAGACTACATTACTCCTCTATTAAACTCTCTCATTGATTCCTGCTTGCCCATTATTTCTTGTCCAGTTCACCTTCTTTGCTTTGCCAACAATGCCAGCATTGCTTACTCTGTAGTTTCCTTCTCTCACTCCCAACATCTCCATGTCTTCTTTCCTGTCCTCTCTATGCACAGTCCAATCTGCCAGCCCCAATGTGTTAGGGCCCCACTCTTGCCTCAGTCAAATCTCTCCCCTAAAGACTTCTTTCCTGAGACTCACAAACATTAACCCACACCAAATGCCTTCTATAGGAGAGAAGGAAATGCTTACTCAGCTAGCAACTCCCTCTGGGTCTCCCAGTGTATCTTGTTTTAGGTGTGTCTACCATTTAGATTATAAACTCTTCAGGGAATGTCTTTACAATGCTAAGTATATTGTTGGCATATAATGATTAATAAAAAATAGTTTGACATTAGTTTAAAGTCACATAGAGAATACTTCTCTCTTCACCAAGTTACTGGATAGTTTGTGATCAACTTGAGTGGATTTGGGTTATGTCCCTCAAGCAGTACTGGGTAATCTATTACTTCACTAAATCATATTCTTTAGGAACTCACTTTCTTCATTCCTCGCTCCGAAGGCAGTATTATTGGAGTGTAAGATCAGTACAGAGAATCCACTTGATGCTCCTCTAACTGGTATAAATCATGAGTTATTGCATTAAAGTCCATGTAATTATACCACTTTAAAACTAGTGTGAGAAGAGAATAAGGATCAATAATTCCACACTGCTGGCTTCTGACTCTCACTGCTTTGGATGTGGGAAGATGAACAAAAAACCTCACTATCTTGGGTTCATCAAAACCTTGGGCAAAAAAAGAAGTCCATATGGGATGGTCTTTTTACAGAAATCTTTTTTTGGGGGGACAGCAGGGGGAGGGGGAGGGGGATGAAACAGAGGAAATCAGATTGTGACAATGTACTCCTGAACTGGGAAGGCAAGTTTCTCATATCCTCCATGACTCTTTTTTTCTGTGGACCATCCTATGTGCAGATTTTGCACTTGTCATCTAAATATAAAAGGGTAATTTATCAAAAGCCTACACAAGAGCTAGGATTGCAAATAAACAGAATATGTACAAGTACTTTTGTACCTACACTGAAGACTTGCCTAGAACAAAATAGCAAGGTTCAACTACAGTCCATTCCCAGTGATCTAGCAGGGGAGATTTTGGTTGCTCTCTCACACACACATGCACACAGTCCATAAGCCCCTGAATGGCATATATTGCAGTGGAAGGATATGGCCCTACCTCCTCCCAGGTAGACCGCCCTCAGTTTGACTATTTCCCCCAACCTGCTGCATCTTGGACCGTTCAATGTGTTCCACATAGGTCTGGATCATCTGTGAAGAGGGAAAAACCCATGAGCCACACAGCAGTGAAAAGGAGACACAGGTTCCTCTTCTGTTTAATCTTCCTCCAGCACCCATTTCTCTCTCTCCCCACCCCCTTTTTTTTGCATAACTATATCTGTCATTGCTATTCTTTAAGGCTGATGACACAATGAATGAGCAGTAAGTCTGGGTCTAATATGAAAGCGAGTGGGGCCAAATAAATACCAAACCTCAAGCCCAGTACAATGGCAGAAGGTACGTGACAAAATATATGCAGAAAAACAATGAAAAAAAGCTTCTTGGAAACTAGACAGCAGTGGTAGCCTCTTGAAGCTTAGAGGAAATGGGATAACAAAGCATTGCACCTCATGGGGGCAGGAGGGGGCTTAGCAGCTACAGACACCTCTTGTTTTTAATCATTCAAATAGTCTTTTCTAAAATATGTTTGTAGACCCACATGTAGAATAAGAGAATGATACTTACTTAGAGATGATAACCTACCTCTGTGTGGCGTTGGTGCAAGGCATTGTACTCTTTCTTCATTTCTGATTCACGTTCCTCCAGCCGTGAAACTGGAAAAGAAAGTATTCCACCCATCAGAGAGCATTTGTGTTAAACCCCAAAAGGAACACCAGATAATTCTCAAGGAAGTATCTTATATTACAGAAAATAGGTAAATAGGAGTTCATTCCTGTTACAAAATGAAAAACACAATAATGTCTGTATGGCATGTGGTATTACTCCCAAACTCATTTCACAGGTATCAAAATGCCCTCAAGGTGAACATACAAAGTGATGCAATACTAATTTTAGAAGTGGGTCTGTCAGGGCCCAGCCCAGTACCTACCAGTAGACAAATGAGCAAACAAAGGCCAATCCAAGTTAAGCATTAGTTCTATCCTTTGTATGTGAGCTGCTAGAGGATCCAAAGCTTCTGAAGGCTGCGTCCTCAACCCCCAGTGCAAGGATCACACAGCTCTTTTATGACTCTTCTGACTACCTGAGGAGCAGCTGTGTTGGACATTATTGCTGAATTCTGGAGGAAGCCTTGTCCAGCCCACCACAACTGCGCACATTAGGGAAAGGAGAACAAAAACAAAAAATGAGGTGGAATATTTGGTGCATGAGAAAAGGCATGGAGAATCCATTCAGGGACAAGAGGGAAATAAGTGGTATGCTATATATTAAACACATTACAGCTGGCTGTGTCTAACTGCAAAGGGCCAGAGCTGAGTAGTGAATACCATCACATGTAGTTTGGGGCCCACTATGCGTTATTGGAGAAAAAGAGTTGTTTTGTTTTTTAAAAGTTGATCCAGCCAGAAAGTATTTACAGTGGAAACTAACTTAAAGCTCCAACTCAACTGTTGTTAACTACAAGACTGGGATTTTCCACTTAAAGCTCCTTTGGACTTTCTACCAAGTAGATGCAATCACAGTTGACAAAGAGAGTTCCATATTCCTGCCTCCAAAACGAAATAGGATGTATATTCAGTACATGCTCCTCTACACCCACTTTTCAATAATATGATCTAAGATCATGGCATCAGAAGTCCTTTCTAATGCAATAAAATGTTTGATAGCAAAGAAGGGTTTTAAATGTCCTGTTTATTGGGAAAAAGAAATTCACTACCACACACCATCTAGGAAATGTATTAGAAGTTAGGTTGGGCACATACCTGAAATATCCCACACACAATTCTTTGCATTTTAACAGGGATGTCATAAATATAAAGGGAAGCGTAAACACCTTTAAAATCCCTCCTGGCCAGAGGAAAAAATCCTCTCACCTGTAAAGGGTTAAGAAGCTAAAGGTAACCTCGCTGGCACTTGACCAAAATGACCAATGAGGAGACAAGATACTTTCAAAAGCTGGGAGGAGGGAGAGAAACAAAGGGTCTGGCTCTGTCTGTATGATGCTTTTGCCGGGGACAGAAGAGGAATGGAGTCTTAGAACTTAGTAAGTAATCTAGCTAGGTATGTGTTAGATTATGATTTCTTTAAATGGCTGAGAAAATAGCTGTCCTGAATAGAATGAATATTCCTGTCTGTGTGTCTTTTTTGTAACTTAAGGTTTTGCCTAGAGGGATTCTCTATGTTTTGAATCTAATTACCCTGTAAGGTATTTACCATCCTGATTTTACAGAGATGATTCTTTTTCACTTCTATTAAAAGTCTTCTTGTAAGGAAACTGAATGCTTTTTCATTGTTCTAAGATCCAAGGGTTTGGGTCTGTGGTCACTTATGCAAATTGGTGAGGATTTTTACCAAACCTTCCCCAGGAAGTGGTGTGCAAGGGTTGGGAGGATTTTGGGGGGAAAGACGTTTCCAAACTACGTTTTTTCAGGAACCCAGATAAAGTTTGGTGGTGACAGTGGAAGTCCAAGGGTAAAATAGTTGTACCTTGGGGAAGTTTTAACCTAAGCTGGTAAAAGTAAGCTTAGGAGGTTTTCATGCAGGTCCCCACATCTGTACCCTAGAGTTCAGAGTGGGGAAGGAACCTTGACAAGGGATTTGCCTGATATTTTATAAAATGTTATAATCTGAAAGATGTAAGGAGCGTGTGTAAATTGCAGAAACTGGAATCGTGGTCTCAAAGGACTAAATAAATCCCTGGTGTAACTCGAGTGACTTCAGACAAGTTATACCAGGGGTGATTTAGGACTAAAGTCTAGGTAGTTCTAAAGAAACTCAGCAAAATAACACAGGAACCCCTCAAACTACTGCCAAATGCACTCCACTGATCTATCATGTCTCATCCAATAGTACTTCATGTAATATACAAATTTGTTTAAAACAGCTAGTACTTGCTCCAGTATGAAGCTGTGGGATTCCAAGGGCTGCTGTAGACAGTAAGATAATTGATATACAGAACAGGCATGAAACAAAGTTTTTGAAGCTCCATAATGTCCCCAAAGGCTGCAGTTGGCCATATTTTCTTATAATACTAAATGCAATGGAAACAATAAAGCTACTATCAACTTAAATGTTGAACATATTTCTCCCCTTAGGCTCCTCAAAAGTTGGCACTGGAGTTATGAATGTCAAACTTCCAGGCTTTGAATATGATACATGAAACAAAGAAACTTCAGAGCAACACCCTAGCTTCCAAGGAAGCCCAACCATATAAGCATGTTTGTTGCATTACTGTACTTACTCTGGTCTGCATAGTTTTTGGCCTTCAGCTCCAGCTGCCGGGTCTGAAATTCAAGATGCTCAACCTGGATTTGCAGGTCTTTCTTCTCCTGTTCCAGTGCATCTTCAAACTCTATAAACTTCTGTACAGGCAAAGAAACAAAGAAGGAGACCAGGATGAGAAACAAACACGCAGTGCACTGTTTCCCATTTTGCCTCCCTTTCTGTCCCCTACAAAAATAGGAAACCAAGAGAGAATGTAAGTAACAAAAACAGGAGGTTACGTTTTAAGAGTCAGTATTGCAGATTACAGTATTTCAACCAGGAAAAGAGGACATGGATGGGTATAAACTGTTCAGGAAGGACACGCGGGGATGAAAAGGTGGAGGAGTTGCACTGTATGTAAGAGAGCAGTATGATTGCTCAGAGCTCCAGGGTGAAACTGGAGAAAAACCTGCTGAGAGTCTTTGGGTTAAGTTTAGAGGCAACAACAACAAGGGTGAGGTCATGGTGGGCATCTGCTCTAGACCACCAGACCAGGAGGATGAGGTAGATGACGCGTTCTTTGGACAATTAACAGAAGTTTCCAGATCACAGGCCCTGGTTCTCATGGGGGACTTCAATCACCCTGACATCTGCTGGGAGAGCAACACAGCAGTGCACAGACAATCCAGGAAGTTTTTGGAGAGTGCTGGGGACAACTTCCTGGCGGAAGTGCTGGGGGAACCAACTAGGTAGGGGCCGTGCTCCTCTTGACCTGCTGCTCATAAACAGGGAAGAATTGGTAAGGGAAGTAGAAGTGGGTGGCAATCCTGGGCAGCAGAGACCATGAGATTGTCAAGTTCAAGCTCCTGACAAAAGGAAGAAAGGAGAGCTGCAGAATATGGACCCTGGACTTCAGAAAAGCAGACTCTGACTCCCTCAGGGAACTGATGGGCAGGATCCCCTGCGAGGCTAATATGAGGGGGAAAGGAGTTCAGGAGAGCTGGCTGTATTTTAAAGAAGCCTTATTGAGGGCGCAAAAACAAACCATCCCGATGTGCAGAAAGAATAGCAAATATGGCAGGTGACCAGCTTGGCTTAACAGTGAAATCTTCGAGGAGCTTAAACTCAAAAAGGAAGCTCACAAGAAGTGGAAATTTGGACAGATGACTAGGGAGGAGTATAAAAATATTGCTCAAGCACGCAGGGATATAATTAGGAAGGCGAAAGCACAATTGGAGTTACAGCTAGCAAGGGAATTGAAGGGTAACAAAAAGGGTTTCTACAGGTATGTTAGTAACAAAAAGGTGGTCAGGGAAAGTGGGGACCCTTACTGAATGGGGGAGGCAACCTAGTGACAAATGATATGGAAAAAGCTGAAGTACTCAATGCTTTTTTTGCCTTGGTCTTCATAGACAAGGTCAGCTCCCAGACTGCTGCGCTGGGCAGCACAGTATGGGGAAGAGGTGAGCAGCCCTCAGTGGTGAAAGAACAGGTTAAGGACTATTTAGAAAAGCTGAACATGCACAAGTCCATGGGTCCGGATCTAATGCATCCAAGGGTGCTGAGGGATTTGGCTGATGTGATTGCAGAGCCATTGGCCAGTATCTTTGAAAACTTGTGGCGATCGGGGGAGGTCCCGGATGACTGGAAAAAGGCAAACATAGTGCCCATCTTTAAAAAAGGGAAGAAGGAGAAGCCAGGGAACTACAGCCTCACCTCAGTCCCTGGAAAAATCATGGAGCAGCTCCTCAAGGAATCCTTTTTGAAGCACTTGGAGAGGAAGGTGATCAGGAACAGTCAACATGGATTCACGAAGGGAAAGTGATCCCTGACCAACCTGATTGCCTTTTATGATGAGATAACAGGCTCTGTGGATATGGGGAAAGCCATGGACATGATATATTTTGACTTTAGTAAAGCTTTTGATACGTTCTCTCACAGTATTCTTGCCAGCAAGTTAAAAAATTTTAGATTGGATGAATGGACTATAAGGTGGTGTGACAGGGTCAGGCCAGATGGCTATAGGAGAGTAATAGAAGGCAGATATATTAGCCCCAGGCTAAGTAGGTCCCTTCTCCCTGGGTAAGGTAACAGGGAAGGTTCCAGAACAATCAGGAACCTTCTGGAGACAATTAAGACAGGCTGATTAGAACAGCTGCAGCCAATCAAGAAGCTGCTAGAATCAATTAAGGCAGGCTAATCAGGGCACCTGGGTTTTAAAAAGGAGCTCACTTCAGTTTGTGGTGTGCTTGTGAGGAGCTGGGAGCAAGAGGCAGTAGGAGCGGAGAGTTAGAACGCGGACTGTTGGAGGACTGAGGTGTACAAGCATTATCAGACACCAGGAGGAAGGTCCTATGGTGAGGATAAAGAAGGTGTTGGGAGGAGGCCGTGGGGAAGTAGCCCAGGGAGTTGTAGCTGTCGCACAGCTGTTCCAGGAGGCACTCTAGACAGCTGCATTCCACAGGGCCCTGGGCTGGAACCCAGAGTAGAGGGCGGGCCCGAGTTCCCCCCAAATCCTCCCAACTCCTGGTCAGACACAGGAGGAGACAACCTGGACTGTGAATTCAGAAAAACGGCCAAGCTGAGGGCTGCTGTGAAGCTCCAAGGTGAGCAAATCCACCAATAAGCACAAGACCCACCAAGGTAGAGCAGGAACTTTGTCACAGTGGATAGAAAAGATGGCTAGATCATCGGGCTCAACGGGTAGTGATCAATGGCTTGATGTCTAGTTGGCAGCCAGCAGTGGCCCAAGAGGATGATGGGATGGATTGTACCCTCGGCAAGTTTGCGGATGACACTAAGCTGGGGGGAGAGGTAGATATGCTGGAGGGTAGGGATAGTGTCCAGAGTGACCTAGACAAATTGGAGAATTGGGCCAAAAGAAATCTGATGAGGTTCAACAAGGACAAGTGCAGAGTTCTGCACTTAGGATGGAAGAATGCCATGCACTGCTACAGGCTGGGGACTGACTGGCTGGCTGCAGTTCTACAGAAAAGGGCCTAGGGATTACAGTGGATGAGAAGCTGGATATGAGTCAACAGTGTGCCCTTGTTGCCAAGAAGGTTAACAGCATATTGGGCTGCATTAGTAGGAACATTGCCAGCAGATCCAGGGAAGTGATTATTCCCCTCTATTCTGCAGTGGTGATGCCACATCTGGAGTATTGTGTCCAGTTTTGGGCCCCCCACTGCAGAGAGGATGTGGTCAAACTGGAGAGAGTCCAGAGCAAAACAAAAAGGATTAGGGGGCTGGAGCACATGACTTATGAGGAGAGGCTGAGGGAACTGGGTTTGTTTAGTCTGCAGAAGAGAAGAGTGACGGAGGATTTGATAGCAGCCTTCAACTACCTGAATGGGGGTTCCAAAGAGGATGGAGCTCAGTTGTTCTCAGTGGTGGCAGATGACAGAACAAGCAGTAATGGTCTCAAGTTGCAGTGGGGAAGGTTTAGGTTGGATATTAGGAAACAGTATTTCACAAGCACTGGAATAGGTTATTGAGGGAGGTGGTGGAATTTCCATCCTTAGAGGTTTTTAAGGCCTGGCTTGACAAAGCCCTGGCTGGGAAAATGTAGCTGGTGCTGGTCCTGCTTTGAGCAGGGGGTTGGACTAGATGACCTCCTTTGGTCTCTTCGAACCCTAATCTTCTATGATTCTATGACCTGTACCAGAAATGTCAGCTGCAAATAGGGAACTGTAATCTACAGACTGAGGTCCAAATGAAACACTGACATAAGCCTATGAAACTCGACTGATTTCAAAAGTATTGGTGCCTCCTTTTGCCATGCTGAATTTTGACTGTTGCTAATTTCCATTCTAGACAATAAATTCTGATCCCTGCGGTTGTACACTTACAATTACTTCTAAACGAGAGTAGACTTTGAATGAGGAGAGGATAATAAGGTGACTATAAATAAATATAACCCTTAAGTTACAAAGAAATCCTCAGAGGTTTTACATCTTTGGTTTCCTGGGTTAAGTAAGAGCCTGCAGGGGTGATGTAGCAGCGATGGTCTGTAGTTGCCAAGGGGAATTGCTGGGTAAGATTTCTATGCAGACAGTGTGCCTTCCCCTGCCAGGAAGCACAAACCACAAACGGCTTCCTCTCCAAGCCTGATCTCCTTCTCTACCCCTCCTCATCCTTCTCCTGACTTGTGTGGGGAAACAGCAGTGAAGAACCCTGCAGCGACCGGGATCCCAAGGGTCCCACAGAAGCACCTGCCATAATACGGGAACCGGTGAAATGTACTTTGTTGTGGGCGGGATTGGGTGGGGAAAAAAAAACAGACTGCAGTCATTTGCTGGAAAACACTTTTTTTTTTAAATAAATGTTTTAATACTTAAATTTAAGTGAGGGATAGAAAGAGATTTGATGTCTATTACAACAGGAGTTAAAGTATTTTTACGTGGTTTAAGCAAGATTTGTTTTATTCTTTTAATGGTAAAAACTGTCTGAATTATGTTTGTGTATATAAAATTATATATACACACACACATATATATATATATATAAATGTGTTATATAATGTGTTATCTGATCTTTTTTTTAATAGTATGGCTGAATCTCTCTCTGTTGCGGATATGCGGGATCTAAGGTTTTTGCAGGCGGGAGCGGGATAAAAATGCAAGAAACAATGTGGGAGCGGGATTTTGAAAAATGGTCCTGTGCAGGGCTCTACAGCAGTGGATGGTTAGCTCAGAGCAACAGCAACATCCAGAGGTGGAGGACTTCCTGATAAAGACTTCAAGAATGACTCCTTGAGGAAGAAGCAGCTGGAAGGACAGGTGAGGCAGGTGGGGAAGCTGAATGTGGAAAGGGAACAACTTCTGAACTTGCAGACAGGAGCAGACAAAGCTAGGTAGGTAGCTCTTAAAGAGAGGAGAAAGACTAGAGTTTACTCAGCTCCCATACCTCATCTTAGAAGTAACAACACTGTAGTGACAGCAGAAATAGCAGCGTAGCTTATTGAATAGAATGTAGAACTGAAAAAGATTCTTCTGATTGCATGTTCCCAAATACAAAATAAGATAATGAAATACAGCAGAAAAATAGTATTCTTCCCATAGTATTGGTAAAACTCCCATAGTATTCTTGTCAGAAAGTTAAAGAAGTATGGGCTGGATGAATGTACTATAAGGTGGGTAGAAAGTTGGCTAGATTG